AAGATTGTCAAAACTACGAATTTATTTAGTACGTTTGTTATATAATTAATGTGTAAAATTGACAATGTAGGATTTGGATGGGCTACCAAATGTACCATCATCAAGATACCGAAACTCGGATGCTCATGATGTCAATATTGAAGATGACAATCCGGCTAATTGGATTGGAAAAGACTTTGATAACCAAGTAAGATTAGCATTTAGCTCATTAGCAATATTTATTTCTTTAGCAATCTGTCCAAATATTAAATTGTGCATAACTAGTTCAATTTAACTAGTTTTGACCTGAATCTTTTTCCTACATGTAGATTAGGATTTGTAATTGAATTTAGACTATAAAAACGCTTGATTTGGTTAAAAATTGAATGAGTTACAAGCCCCGCAAGGAAGGGTATCAAATCTGATTTTTTTTTCTAACAGCAATAAAACGTGATCTGATTTTGTTGTTCAAATGTGTATAATTCATTCAATTTAACTTGTTTTGATCTGAATCTTTTTCCTACATGTAGATTAGGATTTTGTATTTGAATTTAGACTATAAAAACGCTTGATTTGGTTAAAAATTGAATGAATTACAAGCCCCGCAAGGAAGGGTGTCAAATCTGATTTTTTTTTTCTAACAGCAATAAAACGTCATCTGATTTTGTTGTTCAAATGTGTATAATTCATTCAATTTAACTTATTTTGACCTGAATCTTTTTCCTACATGTATATTAGGATTTTTAGTTGAATTTAGACTATAAAAACGCTTGATTTGGTTAAAAATTGAATGAGTTACAAGCCCCGCAAGGAAGGGTATCAAATCTGATTTTTTTTTTCTAACAGCAATAAAACGTGATCAGATTTTGTTGTTCAAATGTGCATAACTCATTCAATTTAACTTATTTTGATCTGAATCTTTTTCCTAAATTTAGATTAGGATTTTTAGTTGAATTTAGACTATAAAAACGCTTGATTTGGTTAAAAATTGAATGAGTTACAAGCCCCACAAAGAAGGGTGTCAAATCTGATTTTTTTTTTTTTTTCTAATAGCAATAAAACGTCATCTGATTTTGTTGTTCAAATGCGTATAATTCATTCAATTTAACTTGTTTTGACCTGAATCTTTTTCCTACATGTAGATTAGGATTTTTAGTTGAATTTAGACTATAAAAATGCTTCATTTGGTTAAAAATTGAATGAGTTACAAGCCCCGCAAGGAAGGGTGTCAAATCTGATTTTTTTTTCTAACAGCAATAAAACGTGATCAGATTTTGTTGTTCAAATGTGCATAACTCATTCAATTTAACTTATTTTGACCTGAATCTTTTTCCTACATGTAGATTAGGATTTGTAGTTGAATTTAGACTGTAAAAACGCTTGATTTGGTTAAAAATTGAATGAGTTACAAACCCCGCAAGGAAGGGTGTCAAATCTGATTTTTTTTTTCTAACAGCAATAAAACGTGATCTGATTTTGTTGTTCAAATGTGCATAACTCATTAAATTTAACTTAATCTTTTTCCTACATGTAGATTAGGATTTTTAGTTGAATTTAGACTATAAAAACTCTTGATTTGGTTAAAAATTGAATGAGTTACAAGCCCCGCAAGGAAGGGTGTCAAATCTGATTTTTTTTTTCTAACAGCAATAAAACGTGATCTGATTTTGTTGTTCAAATGTGCATAACTCATTCAATTTAACTTATTTTGACCTGAATCTTTTTCCTACATGTAGATTAGGATTTGTAGTTGAATTTAGACTATAAAAACTCTTGATTTGGTTAAAAATTAAATGAGTTACAAGCCACGCAAAGAAGGGTGTCAAATCTGATTTTTTTTATATTTATTTTTCAGCATTTAAACGTAATATGACTTATTATATGTTTTATTTTGACAATACAGGATTATGGAGAAGATTCAGAAGAAGATTATATAGAAGAAACACCGGCATGGAATGTTATACCAAGTGATGAATCAAACCAATAAGAGGAGCCACAAGAACAACAACCTTCAAAAAAACGAAAATTTGCAACCACACAAAAACAAAGACAACCAAAAAAACCAATACAAACAAAAAAACCACCACCACCACAAAAACAAACACAAGAAAAATACCCAACAAGGCCAAAAACCAAAAAAAAAAAAAAGACTCAAAAGGAGTTAAGGGACCGGATTAACCCAACCAGACGAGGTGAGGGTAGAGATAAGTGTACCGCTCCTGTTTGGAAATACTTCGAGATCGAATGGATAAAGGAGGACGATGGAATTGAAAGAAAGTGGGCCGAATGTAATTATTGTTTACATTTACTAGCCGCAGATCCAAACCGGAATGGGACAACTTCAATAAACAAGCATTTTAATGGGTGCAAGTTAAATCCAGACAACATACCGAAACAAGTTGATGACAAACAACAAAAGTTGTCATTTACGAAAGCTCCTAATGGTGAGGGTCATGTATACACATGGAAACATGATGATACTAGGATCCAACTTGCCTTGCTAGGACTTTTCACCATCGGGAAACTACCATTTAAATTCATTGAAAACGAGGCATTCATAGAATTTGTAAACGCCCTCAATGGTAGGGTGAAATTGCCTTCAAGGCATAAAATTTCTCGTGATGTTGTGTTATTCTATTTAATGGAGAGGCAGAAGCTGTACAAACATTTGAGCAACCCCAAAACAGCCATCCACTTGACAACCGACACGTGGACATCCTCGTGTCAAAAGATAAATTATATGGTTGTCACGGCCCACTTCATTACCGAAGATTTTGTCATGCACAAAAGGGTAGTAAACTTTAGAGAGGTTGATGCTCACAAAGCTGAAGACATGGCCTGGGAGTTGCTAAGATCAGCATACAATGTGAAAGACGCATTTCTCGACTATAGCCATCAAGGTAAATAAAATCAATTAATCAAATATATTTCAGCACTAAAATTAGCAATATATACTTCTTTAGCAATCTGTCCAAATTTTAAATTGTGCATAACTAATTCAATTTAACTTATTTTGACCTGAAGCTTTTCCTACATGTAGATTAGGATTTGTAGTTGAATTTAGACTATAAAAACGCTTGATTTGGTTAAAAATTGAATGAGTTACAAGCCCCGCAAGGAAGGGTGTCAAATCTGATTTTTTTTTTTTTCTAACAACAATAAAACGTAATCTGATTTTGTTGTTCTTTTTTTGTAGATCCAATGTTTCAGAAAACTGTGGAAGGGTACCATCACATTCAGATTTTGAGATGATTAAAAAGATGATGGAGTTCCTTGAGAAGTTTTAGAAGAAAACTGAAAAAGTTTCATGTTCAACAAAGCCTATCTTCTATACGTATACCCGGGAGATCCTAGATATAGAGCAACATCTTAGGAAACATGAAACCAACTGGGATTTTATGTTTATGGTACCAGATATGAAAGATAAATATGACAAATATTGGGGTGACTATGATACTATAAGTGATTATGTCTTCTTTGCGACATGTTAGATCCTCAATGCAAGTCAAAGTTTATGAAAGTTGTTTTTACCCAAATGCTTAAAGCCAAGAACAAAGATAAAAAGATGTCCGCTGATGAGATAGAATCCAAAGCACGTGCAAAGGTTATTGATATCGAATGCAAATTGGACAAATTTTTCAAGACATACTTGGAAAGGTCAAACATGACCTCATCGTCTCAACAAGAAACTCCTGAAGAAGTTGTTAATTTTGATGACGAAAACAAATTCTTTGGAAGCTATATGACTTCTGGAAGTTTCCCCTCGACTTCGTCAGAAAGTCAATTGCAACGATACTTAAACGAGGACCCAATCGGATTTGACAAAGGATATGATATCCTCACATGGTGGAAAAATAATGCGGTGCGGTTCCCGATCATTGCTCGAATGGCAAGAGGTATCGACCTTCTTTTACTCTAATTTAAAATTTTAATTTATAAATTTGTGTCGTGTATTATACACTAATTTGTTTATTAATAGATATTTTGGGGATGCAAATTTCCACCGTAGCATCCGAATCCACATTCAGTAACGGTCGTCGAGTAATTACCGACTACCGTACTAATTTGTCCGTTGTGATTGTGGAGGCATTGATATGCACTCAAGATTGGCTAAGAAAGAGTAGCTTGCCTATATATGACTACGACGAAGTGCACGACATGTTAGCTGACGATGACCTCGCTATCGGTAATACACTAATACTTGTTACATCTTATTTTTAACTTCTTATTAGTATTTGTTACATTTTAGTAAGTAATAACATTTTTCTTTTGTATTATATATAGACATTGTGGATGCTATACACAACTTGAAGCTAATGGGGAAGAGATCGGGGAATTAGTCAAAATATCAAAGAAATGTTGGAATCCACGTATTAGACTTTGTTTGTTTTTTTTTTTTTTTTTTTTTTTTTTTGGTGGTGGTGAAACTTGGAAGTATATTTTGAATGTCGAAAGTGTATTTTGAATGTTGAATGTTTGAATGTTGGATACTTAATAACATAACTTTGACGACATCCATGTTTAATTTGCTTGTAATAATTTAAATAAAAGATCCATAGTTAATTTGCTTGAATGTTGAATCGTTTATTAAAATGTTGATTATTATAATTTTGATTATTTACTAGTATTTAAACATCCACTTCTTCATAAAAAAACCAATAAAACGTAAAGTAATTTAGTCGTTGGAATTACTCGAAAAAACGGCAAAAATCGGACCCGAAAACCAATAAAACGCAAAGTAATTTAGTCGTTGGATACATCAAAATTTAGCCGGTTCCAAACTCGAAAAACCGGTAAAAACCGGACCCGGAACCGGAACCGGTAGAACCACCGGGCCGGTTCGGTTCTTCATTTTGGCCGAAGCCGGCTCCCCGGTCCGGTTCGATTCCGGCCGGTTCGGTTCTTTTGCTCATCCCTAGATGTAGCAATCATCATCCGAGTTCACACCTTCACAAGACATGGGTGTGGTGTTTGTTACCATCTCACACGTGATTTGGCTATCATCTCACGGGTGAGTTACCCACCCACTCGGTATAGCTTAACATCATACAATATTTGTCAATATTTTTAACAACATAATTTTATTCGTGTGGAAATCCGCATAGTTGAAGACTGCGTTGCGATGCAAAATTTTCAGGTAAGCCTAGGTGACTTATCCCAATTGTACAATTATACATTACATCTCACTTCTTTAGTTTTAATGTTTTCTTATTGTTGTGTTTTATACCCTAGATAAAAAGACTTAAAAACCAGTATCCACGTTCACCCATTAACGCCACATAGGATTCACTATATTATAAAATATCATATAATAAATCATCAAACTCCATCTCTATCACTGTTCCTCAGCCAATAACTGTAAGCAAAGCAAGCAGCACCATCAGGAATATCTTCCATCACCCATTCATGTCCTTTCGGATAATATATTCCCGTACGACGATGTGGGATCCAGCACTCTTCTTCTTCTTCATGTTCATCGTATTCTTTCTTTTCTCCTTGTACTTTATTCTTCAATGATTGTGATTGTACTTCACTTTCTTCGTAATCATAACATTCATTTCCTTTGGCTACCTTGCTCATGCAGCGTTCCACCATTGCCTTTGAAATTATGCTACTCCTCCTCCTGCATGTTATATATAAAACTTTGTTAATTTATATTTATATATATAAAGGAACCTGAAATGGAAGTGCCAAAAGGATTGTAGCTAGAAGTTTCATCCATATGTTTTGCTACTCTCTTTCTTCATCATGTGTTTGTATTTTCTCAATCTACAAGACTACATTCGTCTAACGTTCATGAAGAAGAAAGGAGACCTATGATACCACATTCACACCTAATATATAATCTTAATTTAACGATTGAAAATCAAAGAAAACTAAGACAATGAGAGCACGACCTAGCAAGTAAAGTCTGTATGGTCATTGCAAATCCACCTTTAGTCATGGTTCGAAAGGGAAGAAATAGATGAGAAAATTTGTGTGTAGGGTTGAGCCTTCTTTTATAGATGACAATAACCGATCGACAAATGAAAAAGAAGATATCAAGAACAGATTCTCCCACTTGCTCATAACTATTCAAGAATTGAACACACGAAAAGTAACTTGCAAGTTCGCTTCTAATTTCACTCATATGAATGGATTAAAGCTAAAGAATGTAATACGGATAAGGTTTTTGGTGTTTTACATGATTGTTTACTTTTCGGAAGATGCATGGCGAAATCAACTTTCATCGTTGATCATTCTTTTAAAAAAGAATCAACAAGTCTTGTCGTCTTGTCCTCGCCTTGTTTCATACATTTATCATTACTTTTTTGGGTTCGTGGCGAAACGAACTTTAGTCGTACATCATTCATTTTTTTTTACGGAATAAACAAGTCTTTTCGTTAATTCATCGGTTTCGTTTAAAATGCAATTCTCATTTTAAGTATTCAAAGTTTCTCCTTCTAGAACGAGGTGTCGACAACAAAATATATAGCTTATCTCTTTTTCCTTACATTTTGTTAACGTTAAATCATTAGAATTGGTGTGTTTTTTTTTTCATTAAACAAATACAAAATTAAAGTTGGGGGTTTAAATGTTGGAAAAAAAAAGTAGTTTGGAGTTATATGACGAGTATATGTTTGCCGATTAAAAAAATAGTTATATTTATAACGATTTTACTACAGCTTATTTAAGATACCCTTCTAGTTAACTACTTTTTTTCATCATATTCTTATTTGGATTTAGAATAGGTTTATGTTATTTTATTATTTTTGTGTTCTATGTAAGCAATAAATTTAATAACTGTAATTGAATATAATAGAATAGTATTTGTAATTTGCATATAAGGAATATTGATAAAAAAAATCGTTATGTTTTTCAATAAAATACAAATTTATCTTAATATTATTTTTTTATGTGTTAAAACTGAAACTTTACAGCCTTTTTTAATGTTACATTTGTTGTTATAAAAAGTTTGAGTTATCATGAAATAAAATTTAAATTTATAAATCTTTTATGTTTTCCCCTAATTATGTTTCTTTTTCATATTTTATGTATTCATTCAATAAATATATATATATATATATATATATATATATATATATATATATATATATATATATATATATATATATATATATATTGAATGAATACATAAAATATGAAAAAGAAACATAATTAGGGGAAAACATAAAAGATTTATAAATTTAAATTTTATTATATATATATATATATATATATATATATATATATATATATATATATATATATATATATATATATATATATATATAGGAGTAGGATCAAATGAGAACACCTAAAAGGTTGAGAACGCGAGAACAGATCTGGATCATTTAAATATTTAAATCTAAGGTTATTATTAAATGGGCGATTTATGAAAAATTCTAAAATTGTTGGCATTAAAGTGTAACATTTAAATGGTCAGAAGGGCATAATAGGAATTGCAACTTTACCTATTTCCTATAATTTCTATCTTTCTCACCTCTTTCCTTTCATTTCTCGTTTTTATATTCCCCTATCTAGGGTTTGATAATAATGCTTCCTCCTTCTTAAAAACCTTCTTCTCACATTTCACAGTCGACGCAACTCGTCTTGTACACGCCTTCGAAGATCGGTTCCGCTCTCGCTACTTCGTGGGTAGTCCCATTGATTTCTGCTCACCGGCGCAACCTCGCCTTCACTCCGGCGTAACAAGGCTGCGACGACTCAAGTAATCAGTTCCACTGTTCACTAGTTCATCGATGATCATTGAAGGTTTTTGTGAAAACATTGAAGGGGACTCACTTCGAAATCGAAGTAAAATCCGAGGACACGGTTCGTCTCGTTTCATTTGCTTCTTTTGTTTCTTTTTTTTAATGAATCGTGATGTTTCCATGTGTAATCGATTGGAAGCTAGGGTTTTATGCGTTATTTGATCTGATGTTTTACTTGATAATGATTGTAGTATGATTTTTGCTTCTTGGATTATGAAATTGATTCCTTAGGGTTTAAGTTGTGATATTCCCTATTAGTAATTAGATTGTGTTTTTTTTCCGCTCATGTCAATTGATTAGTTTCAGTGAAAATATTAAATAATCATAATCGAAATACTCCAAAGCATCTAACTCTGTGTGCTTTTATTTTATTCATTTACCAGGGAGTTATATGAATTGTGAATCGCTGTGAATTATTTGAATTGATATGTGAAATTGTTGGATGAATCATGTTTCATGCTTACATGATTGTTTGTTTGTTTTCAAGAATAGTAATTTAGTGTTGAAACTAGAATGGGAAGTATGTGGTTAAAGTTGTCACCTTGTTAGAGAAATAAGTCGCTCTTATATTCAGTATAGTCTATGAACTCATTGAATTGATCTAGTTATTATCCACAAAGTGATTACTTATTTACTTGAGAAAACAACGACAAACGGAGTAAATGGTATTTGACCATTTTCAGGTTTAATAATTTAATGCTGGAAATCAATCAGTTGAATGTTTCACATAGCTATATAAAGCTATTTTAGGTTAATACAATCTATATATAAGGTAATCATTTAAACTGTGGATTTCTCGTAATGGATTTTATATTTTGTTTCTACTATCTTTCTCTTAATCAACTTGAGCTCTGTATAAACATATAATGATTGTTGATTTAGGTTGCTGATGTGAAGAAAAATATAGTATTCAGGTTATGATTAATCATTCATGATTAGAAGTATTAAATTTATTTATTATGCTTAATCATACATGATTACAAGTATTGAGTTTATATATTTGCTATTCTAACTTGCATTTATGTTTTAATTTTTGTAGGTTTCGTAACAACAAAAGAGCTTAAGTTCATATAAATGCAATCCGTTTCAAGTCAAAAGATTGAATGCAAGAGCAATACATTTTAAGTCAAAAGCTTGGACGCGAAAAAAAGGGACCGTAAAAATCGTTGGTGTGCTTTTGATTGTAACATGACACTGATTTAGATGGTCATATCCAGATGTTATAATGATATTTTTTTTCTATTTTACCATTGTACTTTTCATTTATAATTACAATTGCACTGTCTACATTAAGGTTTCTTTATTTATGATTATGATTATATTAGACTTTTTTTTTTTAATCATGAACAATATTTATGTCTATCATGGCACATATTTGGTTAATTTAATGTTAATTCTTATCATTATAACTTAACATTATAACTTAATTCATTTATTCATTTACGATTACAACGGATTCATATTTGATTACAAATATGTTTTATTTTTGTATGATTACAAATATTCGGTTGAAATGATTAATTCATCAATCTTTTTGAAATACTGGTAAATTAAAAAAAAAAAAAAAAAACGTTTTTTAATCATGGTAAAATCATTCTTTTTGATATACCGGTAAAAAAACGTTTTTTAATCATGGTAAAAAGGTTTTTTTTTTTTTTTTTTTTGTAATCTATTTGATTAAAAATAGATTAAATTCATTTTTAGTATCTGGGTAAAATATCAATCAGTTAGACAACATCCCATGATTGTAGGAATTAATTAATTATCCATATTTAGTTATATTGTAAAATTCATTTTATGCCCCTATGGAATGATTGGTCTACAATTGTTCTCACGTTCTTAACATTTTAGGTGTGTCATTTGATCCTCTCCTTATATATATATATATATATATATATATATATATATATATATATATATATATATATATATATATATATATATATATATATATATATATATATATACTATCTTATAAAAAAACTCACTATTTCTATAAATAAATTGAATATAATAATAATATTTTTTTTAAAACGTTCAAACCTTTAAGCTAATAGTATAAGTAACTACTAATAAAATAATATTAAAATTTGAAAATCTTATCTCTTTTAAATTTTTGACCCAATCTTTTTTATTCTACGTCCTTAGTTTGACAAATATCGACTAAACCAACCCTTTAATCCAGCGTCTATGTTGAATCCTGAGATCTCGGCAAAGTTATCTACATTCTCCATTCTGGCTCGACATTCTCTATATCTCTCTTCAACTGATTTCAAGAATTACAACCCTCATTATCTTCGCCGTCTCTCTTCAGTCACACTAAGCAGTCAGTAGCACTAATGTATTTCAAGAATTGGAAGCGTCGTCGAGGATGTGTAGATCCCTCGATTCCATATCACCATTGTTGCCTCTTCAATTCAGACACCCCTTTCACAGCCATTCAATCTTGATATCAATTCCAAACCATCTTTGTCCTTTATCACAAACACCATGCGACATCCCTTCTAAAAACCCTATCCCCACTCTTTTCATTGTCGTCATCACCAACCATCAACCCTGTTTAGTGTCGCCATCAGCAATCATCACTCATGGCGGTCAAACCGCTAACCACCACTTGGTAAACCTCACAAATATCCACCATAACTGTTGTTAACTATCCATCATCACCATATCTATCGAACCATCAATTGTTTGTTGCATTCCTTCTCGTCATTCAAGATAGCTCCAAAATGTTGTAAACGACGATGGAAAATTATGGGTTCCTATAAAGCTAGACTTGGTTCCTTGTAGTTTTTCTCATTTTCAGTTATCGATACAACCTCTAATTTTGATTATGTACAATAATCTCGGTTATGTTGTTTATGATTGGTTTTTATTGTTGGTGCAGTTTCTAACATTCTTCACGTATAGAGGATTAATTTGGTTTTTTTGGGAGATTTTGGATTTCAGAATCACCTAACTTTTGAAGATTAGTAAATATATCCAAAACCGTTGGATTTGCTCCCCTTAATTCATTCAGGTTCTTTCTATCTCTACCTCACACTCAATTTTAGTTGTTCGATAATTTTGATTATGTACACTACATTTATTACGTAGAATCACTACTACAAAATAACACATAGAATACTGTTAAAATGATATATATAATACGGTTTTGCAGCCGTACTCTATAAGGGGGGTTTCCTATACGAACATGTAATACAATACGGTTGTAAAACTGTACTCTATAATCGTTATATAGTACGATTTTCTAGATAATACAATACGGTTGCAAAAACCGTACTCTATAATCATCATAAAATACGGTTTTTTAGATACTGTAGTACGGTTACAAACCAGTACTCTATAATCATTATAAAATACGGTTTTAGGGTTTTTTTAAAAATAGCCTTATTCTTTAACGCAACACATTGAATACTATTTTTTCAATGTAACCGTACTCG